TCTGAAGTGTACCTGGCGTATAAGACGACCCCCCACTTGGAGGCATATTTTTCAGGGCCAAAAAATCGTCTTATACGCCGGCAAATACGGTACTCCCATGCATTTCCAAATGCCCCTGGTTGAAAACCACTGACATAAAAAGCAGATTTTTGGCTTTGTAATTTCTAGAACAGACATTGCTTACAAGTCAGGTCCCAACTCTCTATGGCCTGGCCCTGCCCATCTCTCTATATTCTCCTCTCTCCCCACCTTTTCTGACACCATAGCAACACTCAACTGTTTGCAATTACACTGCATCCCTGCTGCCTACCCAATGGAGTATCACCTAGTTATGCGTTCTGCTCCCTCTTCTGTAACATCTTTACCCTCATTTGTTGGCTGGCTGATTCCTACTGTTTGAGATCAGGTGACCTGTCACCTCTCACTCCACCACCCCTCAAACTGGTCAAGAGCCTCTTGTTTGTTCTTAAGTACCCCCCACATATCTGACTTGCCCAGGTTTCCCTGTTAAGATCTGAACAACTTCTTTGGAGCACCCATCACAATTTTAATTAATTACTTATTAATATAATTATCTGCTAAGCTCAGTCTCATTTGCTATAAGCTCCATTAGGGCAGAACCTAGGAGGCAATATAGCATGGTGGCAATGAGAGCATGCTGGAATCAGACACACCTGGGGATGTCCGGACTCTTCCATTTACTAGCTGTGTGACATTGGGCAAGTTACTCAACTTGCCTTAGTTTCCTCATCTGCAAAATGGGAAATTACCCATCTTACAGGATTACTGTGAGGATTAAGTGCATAAGAAGAGTTTACCAGTGTCTAGAGCATGGGAACTGCTATATAATACAAGTAATTAGCATTATTCTTTTTCATTGCTCTATCTTTTGAACTGCCTAGCAAGTGGACAGCACATTCACTGTAGGCATTTAAATTTGCTGATTATTTATAGCACTCATCAAGTTGTATTAAAACAGTCTGTGTTTCACCAGATATGGCAGAAACTATGTCTTAGTTATCTTTGTTTTCCTCACACTGAGAACAGTGCTGAACACATAGTGGTAACTTAGTAAGTATCTATTGAATGTTAATGCTTTTCAAAAGGGCCTATATAAAGTGAAACACTTACCTTTTTCCTCTGTGGTGGGTTCTGGGGGGCAGATGGGACTCCTTCACAAGCCCTTTCACCACCGGGTGACATGGATCCACGAGAGAGGTCTTTCATAAAGCCATGCTCGTATCTGCTGGGAAACCCTTCTGCCGGGGAACAATATCCCCCATCCAAATGTAAAGGCTTCCTATCCCCTACGAGGGGAGACCCTCGATATAATCCATCAGCTCGAGGCATAGCGTTCAATGGGGAATAGGCATACATTAAGTTAAACTCTGTCCGAAATGCCTGGTCCGAGTTTCTCACAAGGGTCTGATGTCCATCCCCACTCCTGCTTGGAAAGCCAGTCTCAGAGGTGGGCCCGATGGAGGGATGAGGAGCCAGGTCAGAATGACCTGAGTTGATCAGGGAAGGTCTGTCAGCACAGCTGTTAGTGTTGGAGTCAAGGTAGCCTACTTTTGTCAAGTCCAAGTCTTTTCGGTGACAAAGCTGAAAGAGAGAGAGAGAGAGGAAAAAAAAATCAATGGAGACATGGGGTAGAAAAGGGAAAAAGTCAAAGGGCAGAAAAGAAGGAAGGCAAGAGGGGCACAAGTGAACAGGAAAGAGGGATGGAAGCAGAAGAGAGAAAGCCATTAACATCGGTAAGAGTCCCTTGTAGCAACAGTGTAGACAGGCCAGATCACTAAAGAATCCTCACCTTTCCCAAACTGCTTTCAAGTCTTTCTGGAGAATACTGGGAAAACCTGAATTAGATAATTGGCCAAATGTGACTACTGTGCCTGCTTAGCGCTTCATCAGGTTTGCTGAGTCTCCTTGCACTACATTAAGGGACCGGCAGTATAATTAGGGATGTACCTGAACCCTATGTATATGTATGCTACAGATGTGAGACTGGTGTCTTAAGATAACTAACTGGCTTCTGGTGTGATTCATTTCTAAATTAATATTGATGGAAGGTGGAAGGAGGAGAAAAGGTGAAAGAAAGCAGGTGGAAAGTCAAGTATTTAACGTACTGGATTCAGTAAAGGAGAATGGTATTAAAGATATCAACCAACCAGTTCTTCACTTACTTTCACTATTAAGTAAATATGTTTCTCGTTAAGTTCTTCTGACCACTCAGTTCTTTATCATCTAATGTATGTCAACACACTGTAAGACCACTAATGCCCAACACTGCACAGTATATGAAATCCTGAAATGTACCCAAAACAAACCCCAGCTACTATCTGGTTATATTACTTCCTAACACCAAGATTCCCCACCGCTAGGTCAACTAACTCTCTAGAAAGAATGGTTCCAGAAACCCAGATACCACACCATGTCAGCCTCCAAATTATGCTACCTTAGAATCTTTCAGCAGTTGAGAACTCTTTACTTTCCTTATACGATAACCGTAAAAACCACCCAGATAACCTCTAGACACTAGAATACATCCTTCCTTAAGTTTTACATTGATCTGTAAATACCTGATTCAGAATTTGGTCAATTGTCACTGAGTTTAATACTAATTTTTTTATTAGAAGGAGGTGGGGTTAACAGTTCAGTGAATTTCTAAAAGGTTATGAGAGACTATAACTTTCTCTTCAAGAGGAAAAGGGCTCCATGTGGATTCATGGAGCTAATCATTACTACATTTGTCCAAATCTTCTAATAGTTAAGAAATGCTAGCACTAAAATCTGAATTTAACATCTCCACAGCGGCAGGGTTTCTGAGCAAAGCACTCAACTGATATCCTAGGAGATAATACTTGTACAGCAACCATATCCCAACCACTGCCTGTATCACAGAAACCACAGGCTGATGGTTTGTGCACCCAGTGAGGACCTATAAAGAAAATGTAGAAAGCTAAGAGGCATGACTCTCCTGTCCTAAAGAAGCTCAATCTGTCAACCTAAGCTGTAAACATCCAGGTAACAGAGCTCTCAGGTTAACCTGGGAACAAGGCATAAATCACTGCTGAACTTTCCCAATGTAAAAGTTGCTCCCTGATTTATTAGCCCAAGATAATATAAAAAAATAGCTCCTACCAACTTTTGATTCAACTTTTCTTATTTAACAAACACATTATTTGTTAGACTTTCTTTAACAAGGCTCTTACCAGATCTTCAGCCTCCTTTGAACTTCACATTTAGATTCTATTCTTCTTTTAAAACAACTCTTTAGCCACTCCCTCCCCCAAAAAACAAAAACAAACCCCACCACACACACACAGCTACTTCATTTTCCTCCATCTATACTGAGAGATCTGAGTAGTCAGTCACACATGGGAAGATTAATTCAACTTACAGTGACCTATTGGCCACCCTCCAGCCCATCACCCCACTCACCTGGATACCTCAGCCCTTCCCACACACTCACGCACACTCACTCTCAGCCTCCAAGTGTGATTGAGATGGTGTGATAACTACCTCAGGTGACAGGGACTCGGGCCTATTCGCAGGGTAACTCTCAGGGGAGGATATGTTCTAGAGGAGGGAAAAGCATCTTGTTAATTCATCTACTTGAAGTCAAGAAGCAAAACAAAACAAAAAATAAAGTAAAAGCAAGGATAGATGGTTAGCCACAACTTTTTTAGGGGGCAGAGGGAAGGATAAGAATGCACAGGGGAAACGTTTAATTGCAGAACTCATTTCAATGGACAAAATGACTTGTTTAAATGCTTCCTGGTGCCTTTGAAAGCATTTAAGAATAAATTGGTTATAATGTTTCATGCTATAAGTAAACATCTCAAGCAGATATCAGGAAAGAGATGGGTAAAATTTTACACTATTACAGCTGACCCTTGAACACTGGTTTGAACTGTAAGGGTCCACTTATTTGCGAATTTTTTTCTATAAATACATACAGTACTGTAAATGTATTTTCTTAATAACATTTTCTTTTCTCTAGATTACTTTATTGTAATATGTATATAATACATATAATATACAAAATATTTATTAATCGACTGTTGTTATTTAGTAAGACTTCTGGTCAACAGCAGACTATTAATTAGTACTTAAGTTTTTAGAGAGTAAAAAGTTACACACAAATTTTTGAATGAGTGGGGGTTGGCACCCCTAACTCCTGCTTGTTCAAGGGTCAACTGTATATTTCTTTCTAGGTTAGATGAGAGTTACAACCTATAATACTTGTTATTGCCAGGCACCCTACCACTTATTCCTTCTTAGGGGAATCTTTTTCCTTTTCCCCACATTTTGTTCTTCTTCTGTGAGATTCAGGCCTGCCACTGTTATCCAGTGAAACTGATTAGCATGCTGGGGGCTAACAGGGCTAGGGACATGGCCAGTTCCTCTTAAATGACAATTATAGAAGATATGACTGATGGAATCTTTAGCTCACAGGCTAGATGGTTCTTGGCATAACCTAATTGGATCTGAGCACCCCTACAAATATTCTCTGATGTTAAAATCCATGGTACTTCTGGGAACAGAGGAGAACAAGAAAAGCAGATGTGTACACTTCGAGTCCCTGCATCCTAAACAGGTTTACCTTTATCAGGGCTTTCACCCGAGGCACCACTCTGCTATCAAACAGAAACTGGGCAATGAACTCTAATGGGGAGACCTGAATAGTAAATGTGGAGACAATGATGGTGGTCATTATGACAAAAGATTCAGGGTGCCAGGGGTAAGATGTGTTAGTTCCTAATGTTGTAGACTATGGACAACTGTATCTGTGGTGGGGGAAATGAGGCTGTTCAGCAGAGCCAGGTATTGGCTGTTAATTTTATTTAGTGGGATGGGTAGTGTGTGTGAGATGGATAGTGGGGTACGAATCTCAAGGTGGGAAGGGAAGAAAAGGGTTGTTCTGGTGGAAAGGAGGGACTAATTAAGTCTGCTTTCCCAATGCTGCTTTCACCCCTACGATCTCATTCTCTTCCACTACATGTCGCCTCAAGTCCTTCCCTTAGCATTAGAGAGATTTATCACTTTTCTCCTAGAATGTTTTTTATTTTTCCTTTCAGAAATATTCTTTCCCAATCAAGCTGATCTTTACTTGTAACACACCTTTTGGATTATTTCTGTGTCACAGTCTTGGATGGAAATAAGGCTCCCCACCTTCCTATACTAGAAAATAGGAAAGTGTATGGCAATTAACATGGTAATAAGGATGGTCAAGATGGTGATGTTTGTTTTTTTTATTGATAAGAAAGGCTAAATTTTCTCAGTTAAATCATGAGGTTAAAATAGTATAAACAGGGGCGGCTGGTTAGCTCAGTTGGTTAGGGCGCAGTGCTCATTAAACCAAGGTTGCTGGTTTGATCCCCATATGGGCTACTGAGTTGCGCTCTCCACTAGACTGAAACAACTATCTGACTTGGAGCTGATGGATCCTGGAAAAACACACTGTTCCCCAACAACAACAAAAAAATAATTAAAAAAATATATATAAATATGCATTAACTTTTTGAAGAGATAGGCTGTTTAATATATTATATTTTCTTTCCCTCCTGGTATTCTAACATTATGTTTAGACTATGCATCACTAAAAGGATCTTTAATTAAAAAAATCAACAAAACAAAAACCCAAAAAACAAAACAAAACAAAAAACCAAACCAAAAAAAAAAAACAACCCCCTCGAAACAAAACAAAACATCAAAAAAACCCTTACATTTTCACAGTGTTTCATAGTCATCCAAAGTGATGCACAGGATAGGAAATACAGTGAGTGCTAAATTTGACTGCTTGGGAAGGCAACTTACCTTCTAATTTCCATAATTTCACGTTTAATAAAACCTGCAATGACAAAGTATGAAACCCTATTCCTATAATATACTGCCCACCAGGGAGAATGTCCTTTCATAAAATTTTACTTACCAAATGCTAGTTGCTAACTGAAAAAGCCAACAGCATTCCCAACAACCAAACCAGACCAGGTAAACTTAGTTAAGTTCTGAATCAGCTGCTTTACTATCTGGCTAAAAAGGAATGCCACAAGGAATTTGGTAGAGTAACTTCCCTAGAAATAAAATGTAAGGAGGAAATTTTTTTTTACCTCCCAGAAGAGGTGTGCTCCAAAAGTAAATTCATATGGTCTAGTTTAGGGACAGAACATAGCTGCCTCTTGTTTTCAAGGTTGCTAGTCACCTCTTTCTGAGTTAGACATTTAAATTGCAGGTATTTTTAATCCCCACGCTCTTATAAAAAGCTGAACTGGGAGGATCGCATTGGTTAGAACATTCACCTTTATGAAAGAACCCATCTGGGAAGTGCAAGCTAGGGGCAGAGATGAGCGTGTTTAGTGATCTGAACAGTTTTTTCTGAGAAGGAAAAGAGTGTCTGTTTAATGATAAATCAAAGAAACATGCAATAGATGAGTTTTTGTATACACATGCAATCTACTCAGTAAACCTGCTGTCACCCAAACTTGAATACTAAAGTGATTCAGAATTAACGTTCTGAAACAGCTGAGATACACATCAATCCAGAGAGTGAATATAATCGATTTATCTTTATAAATGCATACTGCCAGACTTTTTCTTCCATTCCTAACACATTATAATAAGAGGGGAAAGTAACTTGGAATAGGAAAAAACCCCTCAATTGCTGTAAACTATATTCCAATGTTTTGAAATCTCTGTTCACTGAGGTCATGATCAGAACACAAAACAGGGAAAGACACTTCACTGATTTTAAGGCCTAGAAATGGAGACAAAATCAGTACAATCTGAGCTTTCAGGCTAGTGTGACTAATGATTACTAGGCAGCTAGAGGCCTATTTTAACCAAAGTACAGAGTAAAAAGAAACGTGGAGATGCAGCATGCTTACTGCCTAAAGTTAAGGAAACTGATGGACTGCCTACAAAAGGCAAATGAAATATGATAAGTGGTAGAAATACTCCTATTTTGGGAAATATGGGGACTGCAAAGATGACAGGCTACCAGGTAATAGTTCACACTGACCCTGAGGCTTCCCATTTTTTTGGGGGGAGACAGGCAAGGAACATGGTAAAGAGCATTTGAAATGATATTATATTTGAAATGAGGGGGTGCGAATGAGGACTTCATATTCAGCACTCCCAACAGCCAAACCCAAATCACCTCAAACTGCAGAGGAGTACTGCAGCGACTGGCAGTAGTAAGAGACGTGATTGGTGAGAACATGAGGCTGTATCCATTTCGACATTCCTCTTCTGGGTGAGACTGGCCAGGTGTGGTCAGCTGGGGGCTCTTTGAGCCTGGATTGGGAGGGGGTGGTGTGACTGGAGAAAGAGGCCGCAGTAACTTGGTGACATTCTGCTCCATCAAATAACGAGACTTCCATTTCTTTAATGGGCTCAACAAGTCTGTGAAATACAAAGCTTGGATGAGAGGTTGAAACGCAGTTGAAAAGGAGGCTCTGTAGTAAAGCCATTCCTCTCTCGCCCCATAATGGCTCTTAACTCCTCTTTTGCCTCATCCCATTGTTACCTCCCACAATCAAACCAAAACCCGAAGAAACTCTTTAAATGCCACACACAGTCATTTGCAAAACTATTTCCCAGAGAATTGCCAGATGAATCTGACACTTTCGACAGATCCCTGGAGCTAACTGATCTCTTCTAGTGGGAAATGTAAATTAACTTTTTTTATGAGTTTCCGAAAATCCCAAATCTGTGTCACTTTGTTGAAATCACCCTCTACTTAATTGACAAGTCGCCAGCTCAAGCTTCTGGGATGTTAACTACATATACTTCTTTTATCTTCTCTATTTTTGCCATTTTTCACCAGCTTTTTGTAACATTCTGCTTTAGGAGGAAACAGTGATGCATAATCACCTGATCCATATCTAGCCCCTAGTTATAAGGGTGCTTCAAAGTGTGCAATGATTTCTACAAAAACTTCCAACTATTTTCAAAAACTAGGCTGGTATTTTTTCTCATTAGAATATCCTACCTTCTATATTTCCTAGGTCCACTTAAAAAGGAAGTTACTACTCTGTATATTTTAATGACCATTTAGGCCAAAATACTTATTTTCACTTTCTCAGAGGAAAAATCTACTTTGATTCATTTACAACACTTAAAAGATTTATTTACTTAATAGCTACTATATGAAAACCAATGAACTAAATTATGTGGGGGTAAATGGTCATCATATAGTCTACTTAAAGGGGTTTACAAATTTGTAAGAAAAAGAAAACATGTAAAACATGTTTAACATGTTTAAGAATCTCAACAGAGGTGGTCATGCTGCTCTGTTAGTAAAAAATAATTATGCTTTTAAATGCTTATTATATACTAGGCACTATACTGCAGGCTTTATATAAATTATCAGATTTAACAATTTTGATAAATCCAACACTATTATTATAACCCCCATTTTAAAATGAGTAATTTTATATGTAGAGAGATCAAGACTACATAATCTGGTCCCCATCTACATTCTTAATCCCGGGGTTAAATTATATCCCCAAGGCTTGGTGGAAGGAATAACATTCATCCCAAGCCTTGGAGGAAGTTTTGGGGCAGTAGGTCATGATCAGAGCTATGCTTCAGGAAGATTATTCCGGCAGTAATAGTTAGGATGAGATTAGACACTGGGAAACTATTTGGAGTTAATGAAGTAGTTAACAGAAGGAGTTATGAGGTACTGAACTACAGTACATGTTGAAACAGAGGGAAGAATAAATGTAAAAAATACTAGAGATGCATATTTTCCTTTCTGATATCTGATAATTTATTTTCCTAGATTGGAAGTATATTCGTATTTTCCTTTTGTTCCAGATACTAAGTTTTCTTTCTTATTTTTCTTTTCTCCTTTTGAAAAGTGCCTAGGTATAAAAAAGACAAACATGTGATTCATGACTTATATTTAGAATACCTTTTCTATATTTCAAGAGTCTTAAACAGTGAATTTTAAAAAAGACTGCTGTACTGTTAGGTCCAACACTATAACTACTAAAGGCAATTATGTGAGTGATGAAGTTCATTGCAGAAAAGTTAGAAAGTACAGATAAAATCTCCCACCCCAAACCAACTTACAGGGCATTCATTTAAATATATATTTACTGAGTACTTATTATGATATCACATTCAACAAAACAACCGTGATATCTGCCCTTATGAAATTTATGGGCTGCTGGTCATTTGCCTACTTTTTTCTATTAATAGCACTATATTTATGAAAAATTTTTTCAAGTTTCATTTTTCTTTTTGCCATAAATAACTTTCAAATTTTATCTGATTAAACCTATTCCATCTTTATTTTTTTCCTGTTACTCAAATACTTCCCAATATTACATACATAAACATCCAGATATCTAAACACACAACTTGAAATCATTTCCCTAAATTAATGCACTGCTAATATCCTGGTATATTTTCATCTAGACCTGTTTTATTAACTCTTGTCTAAATTACACTGCTCAATAACTCACTACCTTCACTCAGAAATACATGGTAAATCTTTCCATGACAATAAACTCAAATCTACAACTAAGTTTTTAATGGCTAGCATTCATATAATCAAAATTTAACCAACTTCTTTTTCTTCTACTTTTGCTATTATAAATATGCCTCAATGACCAATAATCTTGCTCTTACATATTTCTGCACTTGTTTACTTTTTTAGGACAAATGTCTAGATGAAGAATTCTTAAAAGAATATTTCTATAGGCTCACTAGCTTTATATTTATTCTTGTGTGAACTGTCAGCTCATGTCTTGCAGCCTGCATTCTACAGAGATGTTGATCTTGTTCTTCATTTGTAAGGGGCTCTTTAAATGATAAGATGTTGACGTTTGTCAAAAATGTTAGAATTATATTTTTTCAGTTTGCTATCTGCCTTTTAATTTTATTAATAGTCTTTTCTGGCTATACAATGTTTTGTATCTATATTTAATTTTTTAACTAAAATAAGCATACGGTAGCGATAATCCTTTAACATGCCAAATGGCTAGCACATTCTTCCATAAATCTTTTATAATTATAATCTCTCCACTAATTTGAAATACGATATTTCAAATATGATATTAATCTATATATACTAGGTTTAGTTCTGAATGTTATTCTGTATATTTGCTGTCCAAATGGCATCAATATCGACAGATTGTTTGGGCAATACCAATTATTCTACTCTAGCTCTCTAAAATATTTTGGCTATCCTACCATACTTGTTTATGTCACTGAACTGTAGAAATCATTCATAAACCATAAAAAAAGTCAGAATTTTGATTGGGGTTGTATTAAATTCATGAGTAATTTGTGGAATGTTCTCAGCACCGTGGCATGATTTTTTCAGCTACTCATGCTTTCATTTATATCCCTCTTCATATAGATTCATAATGTTTCTAATTGGGTTTACTCTTTGGTGTTCTCTACCTTTTGTTACCATTGTGACTTATATTCTCATACCCTATACGTTTATCTAAATGTTATTGTTACTATATAAGAAAATGTTTATATATTTTTGTACCCAGCTACCCTACCAGTTTTTCTGTTAATTATTTTCACCACAAAGCATAATTGCAAACTGTTTTTAAATAGATGTTAAAGACAAACAAACAAAAACATTAACTGTGCTATCTTATTTATCATTAAATTCATTTACTATGCTATTATTCCCCCTCCTCCAATTGGCCTGCTAATAAAATGAATTCCTAGGAGAAATTTTATTTAGTCATAATATACTATTCTGTTAATATTCTTACAGATTCAAGATTCAGATCACTAATATCTAATTCAAAAGTAGTACTATGCTTTTTTTTTGGGGGGGGGGGCGGCGTTTAAATTAATTGGTAAAATGAATCAAGAGTAAAAACTTGAATGATCCTGCACAGTACTCCAACAAAAGTATGTGCACACAGCAGATGAACAAATGATCAGTTGATCATTCCTTTATCAACTGAAATCCAAGTTATTTTTAATCCTACATATTTTTGCAATTATTAATAATTCTATGACTAATGCTTTTAAAAAAATTTTGGCCCATACCTATTTCTGTAGAACAGATGCCTAGAAGAACAATTACTAGGTTAAGGAGTATGAATATTTTTAATGCTTAGGATAAATCTTACCAAATTGCCAGTAGAGATAATACTTTGTCATTTTAATTCCAAATCCTTTCTCCCAATATATTCGTCCTGTGTTAACTCAGAGACAATATAGAAATAGGCACAACTGTTTTTCCAAGTTTGATTTAAAAAATGTATATATATTTGAATGTGCCCAGAATTTGCTTTGGCAAATATCTAATTCTTTTCAATGCCCCAATTAAGTAAGAATTCCAGAATAATTTATCACATCTTTCATTTATATAAGGCCTGTTCCCAACTGTTCTGTTCCATAGACATATCCATTCTTGGACCAGCACTGTGATAATTACTAACTTCCAGGTTCATATTAGAAACTAGCTTTATACTTCTAGTGAAAGTATATCTCATTATTTTTTCTTCAAATTTGTCTTGGTATTTTCACATTTTTTTTTTAAAGATAAACTTCAATACTATTTATCAAATTCCAAAAACAAGCTTGTTTGATGGGAACTATATGAAGTCAGAGAGTGAGAAAGATAGTGATTGATTGTATTTATTCTTTCCGTTAAAGAATATGAAATTTCTCTTCATTTCCTTAAGACTTTAATTTTTGCCTGTGTAACTTCTATCCAGAAGTTTTATTAAACTCTTATTAATTCAAAGTCTTTTAGATTATTTAGGCTCTCCTAGATATATATCCACATCATTTATAAATAATGAACATTACACCCTGCCCTAGCTGAGCCAGTACCTTTCATTTCTATACAACTTTAGCTTTTTGGAATTTAGAATCTTTAATGTACTGTAGTTATTTGATTAATTTCTGTAAATGTTCCATAAGAAAGAGTATTCTGTGTAGAATAATGACAGTGATAATTCAGGTTTGTTGGAGTCTTTCTACTATACCAATCTGTCCCCTTTTCTTGATTAACAGCTTCTTGGTCTTTTTGAAGAGAAAAAAATAAAACGAAAATCGAAAGTAAACCAACAAATCACAATAATTCCTTGGGATTTACATTAACTTTTGGCAATATATGGTCACCCATTTGACTCCTGCTTGGTTTTAATGAAATGTTTTCCTTCTGTTTATGTTGCTCCTTAAGGGCAAGGTGTGTCCTCTGTATGTTCCTCATTGCTTGAGACCAGAGCAGAAGTTCAATAAAGGTTGGTGACTAACAGTCCCAATTTTATTCCAGGCAAGGCACGTAGTAGCAAAGGCACTTTCTCTATGTGTCTTTGCTGGACATGAGCTGCCACACAACCTCCCTCTTCCAACTTCAAATACATACACACAACACACACAAATACAAATATGCATGTATGTGTACATTAGATAGAAGCTTTCAGTTACGTTATAGTCTCACTATACTGTAAAAGCTGCCAGTAAGTTGATAATATTCATGGAAATCTGGTATCAGCAATTCTTTGTATTAGCCTGATTTGAGTAAATCTCTCTAATCTTTGATGAAGAAAGTATTTTAAATATATATCATTTATCTTCCAGATGTTCCAAACTGGGATTTTATTATCCTGAGGTTACACATGTGATCATTTATAAGGTATCCAATACAGAGATAGAATATACTAAGTCAATAATTTTGAAAAAATACATTTTTAGTAACCTACTTTTCCCCAAATACATTACACAAAAATTTAATATAAAGCAGGTATTAGCAGACATATTATTTAATCCAAGTTCATATTTACTCAGGTCAATGAATACAAACAATGAAGTGGTTTTTATGAAAATCTAAAATATCATGTTAGCTATAGCTTTACATAACTTTTAGCATCTAATTTATTTTGATATTTTGTTTCAATTTCATAATATCCACAAAATTTAGATCTAAACTTAATGGAAATCACAGAGAACTATTCTACTAAGCTGATATTGGCAGAAGAAATGTGGTAAAAAGACTGTCCCAAAATAAGTAAAAGTTGGTTTTACAAGTGCTTTCAATTGCAATTCAATTAAAGACCTATGCAAGAGTCACTGTGATAAGCAGTGGACCAGGTGATTTTTCATGACCCTGTAGTTTAAAAAATTATGAGGACTTTAGATTCAAGGCTGTGTCTTCTTTAAAAATTTATGCTAAATGTGAGCCCTTTTGAAAACAACCAATGCATAATAATTTCTCATTTATTTCCTTCATCCACTGACCCTTCAACCAAGCCAAACCCAACTCAACCACCTACAATTTTGATTCATTCCTGAATAGTGTCCACCTCTTTCTTGCTTACTTCCCCTTTTATAAATATGGATAAAGGTTTCCTAAGCTTACTACTTTAAATGTATCTAAGCTTTTAATACCCATTTCTGCTGTTATCTGTACACTGTCTAGCTCCTCCTTTGACATCCTGGGAAGACTGATCCCTGACTTGAGATCTCTCTCTTCCTCTGTAAAGACAGATATAAAGTAACTATTTAGAGAGCAATGCTATTTCCTTCTTCTGTCAGACTTTTTAATGTTTTTATGTGGACCTGAAATAATCATTGCTCATATATTCAGAAAGGTTTGAGATACATACCTGCATTGTCTTTGTAGATACTAGAAGAATTACTATCCTCATTACTTTGGTATAGGTGCTGAGTTCTAGTCTCTTGGGGTACAGATGATGTTTGTGTCATCCCTTCTTCCAAGGCTTGCTTTATCCAGCGCTATAATGGGAAAGAACCAGGGAATTATTATTAATCATTTAAAACTATTTAGTATTCCTATTATAAATGCATTAACCATGTTATTACATGTCAACTGGTAAGAGATGCAATCCAACACACTCATTCAGTTCCATAGTCAAGTATTTTTTTTGTCTTGTGTTTCAGCATATTAGTATATTGCCCCATCAATTCCTTCTACTGGGCAAACTGAGAAAACCTAGATTACACATAATGAGATCCATCAAAGAACCAAAACCAATAAAAAATTATTACTACTCAACTTTTCTTACTGCTTAGAATAGGGAAAATGGAAAGAAAAAAAGGAAGAAATTTTAGCATTCATATAAGAGAGACCCTGTTCACATAGATAAAACTAGTAAATAAAATAAGTGCCTAGAAGGAAGATAAAAGATCTGTTAAGAGTTCCTGCCCGGTGCTGTGAGCATCTGAGAAGGTAACAGAAAAGATTCACAGGTAGACTCTGAATGAGAAAAAACAGCTTTTAACTAACTACAAGTACCAAAATACTTCTCTTCACTCAGCTGAAATATCCTGTGAGTTTTTTCTCCCTATCAAGTAGTTTGGTTAAATTATGCATGAATAATGCAAATCACCATAATAAATGACCTGCAGAAATCTTAAAGGGGGAAAAGTCAAAAAGAGCTCTCTAATTAGTCACATTTTTTGTAGTAAATATTGGAATCTAAATGATGAGAAATAAATTTAAGTCAGAAAGTAAGCCTGCAAAAGTTAGGGTAGAAGGTTATGCATCCTGCGGAAGAGGGAAAATTTCTTACCTGTAATTGTGTTCTCTTAAGATACACAGTTGTAGGTTGCACACCACTCTGTGGCTCTCCTGCCCTGACATAAGACAGATCGAATTTTGATAAACATCAATTTCTGAGTCAGACCCTCCCCCAAATAGGAAGAGCAAAGGTGATCATAATTTTACACCTTTAGAGAACAAGTATTACAGGTAAGTAAAGATTCTCTTCACCAAAGAGAGCAATCTAATAGATATACCCTCTTAGAAACTTAGAAAAATTTCACCTAGAAAAATTTTACATCATGCAAATGGCACTGTGGTCTGCCAAATGAAAGCAAAAATAAAGTTGTAATTATGAGGTAAGGGTGAGTAAGTATATATTGGGCTGTTGGAAAAATCATGACACATTTTTGCAATGAAAACATAGAAAAAATACGTCGTGACTTTTCCGACAACCCAATAAAAAAAGAGATTTCAACGGTCAATTGAATCATAACATTGCAGGTCATGACTAGATCTCTGAAAAATCAAAACAAGACCAAGAATGAACTGTCTTACAGAATAGTGACGTAAAGATGAACTGTCAGAAATGTATCTCCTTACGACTTCAGAGACCCTAGGTCACCTTGTCCAAAGCACTTATTGTATGGATGAGAAAGATTAGGCCCAGGGGAAAATGAGTGAAAAATCCTTTGTTACAGATACGTTTACTCCAAGTTTTTCTTTTCAGAGCAGATGACAGGACTCACTTAGGGTTACTGTGCTTTCCTCCAAGAGAAGTTAATTTCTAACACTTCCTTGTCAAGGAGATGCACCCATATAAGAACTTACATTCTGGATCTGATGGCTACAAAAAGGGAAAATAAAACCAGGACACAGGCATTCTGAGGAGTAAGATGCTGCTATGGTTAGATATAAGGTCAAACATAGCAAATACGATCTAACCCACTCCTCCTGGTCCTGCAATATGTCTACACAATATTTTAAGGCCCATAAAAAAGGAATATGAACATTTGTTTGTAACTGACAAGTTTCAATCATCCTATAGATAATAAATTAACTTTAGACACCCTCTACCTCTGAGTTCTAGCTACAGTTATTAAGGTCAAAATGGTATTGCTTCGTTTTCTAAAGCTCTGTATTAAAAAGTTATTTAGGAAGTTCAGAGATGGGCTAGAGCAATGTTTTAAAGGGTAAAGAGCAAGGAAGTAATCTGGGTTTTGGAGTCCAAATATCTGGGCTTAAACTTCGCTGTGCCTTTTACTAACTGCCTAACTCCGGGCAAGTTACTGAACCCTTCTGAGCCAAAGCTTCTGATCTGTAAACTGAGGCCAATGATTCCAATTTCACAGGGTTGTGATATAGGTTAAGCAAGATAATGTATGTGAAGACAGCTTGTAGCACAGAACTGGGCACACATGTTCAGTGAGGACTTGTTCAGCTGAATTTTAATGCTATGTATAGAGACACAGAGATTAATAACACCCTCCAGTGTATAGAATGAAATAACCAAGCAAAATAGTGTGTCATTTTCAGTCAGGATGATATTCTAAGAAATCTGGAAGACCAAATACCCCACACATATTATACCTACAGGTAAGTTTAGAGAAGATTTAGAGATAAGACAAGGAGGCACATTACGGAAAGACTTCTCAGCCACTTACAAATGCTTCCATTCTAAAAGAAGAATTGAAGCAAGACTCTTAACAAAAGATATCCATGCCATAACATGCTTTTTAAAAACTATGATTCAATTTACTTTAGAAAATCCAGGAACATCATAAAATGTTCTGTGAAATGCTCTAAGAATCTGGGAGCAAATATACACATGCAACTTTATACTGTATGTAACTTACAAGGCCTTGACCTCCTTTATTCAGATAGGAAACAGAGGCCTACACACACTATAGTCTACGCTGTTCTAACCAATCCCATGGAGGATGGCTTTTCTCATTTATCTTACATTCTTCTCTGAAGGATCTTTAGAAATTTATTACAATTTAGTTTAATCATGGGAATCTTCTTAGGTCCTACACTAGAATGAATACTTTCTAACCAATTGACTAATAAGTCTCTTCCATCCATTCCCACCCAGGTTAAAGCTGAGTTCAATTTCTAGATAAAAGACCCACTTTCACTAGCTTTGCCCCATAAAAAGATACATTCTTGTTTTATAATACAACCTTAATATGTTAACAGCAAATCTTAAAACTGTAATTTAAACTTAAACAATTCAGATCTAAACTTAAACAAGACCCAATTTAAGTCAGATAATTCAACAGACATAGCCTGAACTCCTGAAGACTGGTATGACACATACAGATCAAAGTGTCTGAGTATAGCCCACGTAAAACAAGACTAAGGACAGTCAGACACATTTGGAGAATATAACACGGACATGATTTAAATGAGATTTCTATCTGTTGTCAGTGGAGAAACAAAGATGAGCTATAGATACAAGTTCTAAACCATAACCAGGTAAAAAGAGCTCTAAGTGGATTTTCTATCAGATTTGGAGTCATATTCATACACATTTTTGGTTTTCAAGGACTCTGCTAGTTGGAAAAGATGGGAGTAACAGATCATAACCCAGCATCACAATGATTAAGGCATTTCAAGAGGTTAGTCAATACTATTTACAATTCAGAACTTACTATTAATCTGTACTAAATAACTGCCTACCCCTTGTAAAGGACCAAAATGGGAGATTCTATCTAGTTTGATAAGATGCTTCAACAGTTAACATCCGTGGGAGTCCAATAGTATGTCCAGCCAAAGACAGAAAAGTTTCTTTCATATATATATATTGAGCCATCTCTTGACTTGCTCCTCCAAACTAAAGACCGTATCTACACCTTCTCTAATTGTTCAATACTACTTGGAAAATGTAGTTAAGAGTTTGAGCTGTTACTCTTACTAAGGGACTGAGCTACACATAATAGGAAGGTTAGTTTTGCATATCATACCAGAGTTAATACAACTCTATTACAGAATATGGTTAACAACAATGCTCATTAAATGGCAAACATTTTTTTCCCCTTCTCAGATAATCTCTAAGATCCAAGATAAGTGGCTTGGTATTAAGAAAGTATCCCCAAAGAGGCTTGATCACTGCACTGTACACCTGAAGCTGATGTTGTATAATATTGTATGTCAACTATAAGTGAATATATATATGGTCATGGGACGTGGAGTACAGTGTGGGAGTGAAGGGATTTGTAATATATATGTATGATATTGGGGGGAAATGGGGCGGCGGATTGGGGGAGGGGGGTTGTCACTTTGAGGGGTAAAAAGTATAACTATTGCACTGTGTTGTACAGCTGAAACTAATTCTAAAAAATGCGTATTTCATAATAAAAAATTTAATAAAAAAAAGTATCCCCAGCGACTGAACCTTCATTAACTAGGCAAATTTCTAGTCTATATTTTTCTTAAGGAAGTTTTTGTTTCTGACACCTGAAAGTTATGCATTATCTACAAACCCTTTTGGCAAAGATCTCATGGTCAAATTTCTCGTTAGGAGTTCTTCTACTTGTGAATTTTCCCCAACTGAACCAGTAAGTGCTTCAAATATTGAGGGAAGATGTGCGATTAGGAAAGACTTTCTTCAGTGTGTGGGATCATTCAGCAGTGAGGCCCTTGCACTATGCACAGATCCCTGTAGCCCTCCCCTCCATATCCCACACCACTCTGGCTCATCTTTTGTGCCCCCCTCCCCCCAAGAAATACTTTCTGCTCTTTGGGGAAAGAGAAAAGCTTTAAGTTTGGAGGAGTCAGGGAAGACCTGCCTGGAGTTGGAGACTTCATCACATCAAATAATCTACATGCAGCATCCTCATGTACGTGATGCCAGTGGAGGAGGGCAATGGCAGACACTGAGGAAGGCAGCCTGAATCCAGATCTGAGGATAAGAGAAAAGGGTGTTCCAGGGAACAGACTACCTCAAAGAAAGACCAAATGAAAGGGTGTCCTATACTTCTAGAAACACAAAACGACATTACACTCTGAGGGAGTGATCTATTCCTGAGAGACACCTTTGGAAAATATTCAGGGGTTCTGGAATTAAGAACGAACATTCCAAAAACAAACAACCATCAAACACTACTGCCACTAGATCCAAAAACAGTATGTAACTAGAGAGAGGAGAGACACAGAGAAGGAGAGAGAGAATGAATTTTATAGCTGGTTCCACATTCACTAGGGGATAAATAGTCCAACCTGTCATTTGATCAAAGAACAGGAATTATGCCAATTGTAACAGGACTTCCTCTACTTGTATTCAAATGATAATAGTGACTGAATTAAAACACAATTTGATCATTTTTTTACTTATGCAGCAGTGCTCTAGAGTACCTGGGGCCCAATCTCACTCAATAATCATGAATGGACATTTTAACCAATACCACAAGAGTACACACAAAACATCCCTCCTTACCCGGGCATCAAATGCTGTGTGCTCTCAACTCAGTAATCTCAAGGGCTCTCAGAAAAGACAACAGTGAATACTAACAAATTGAGCACCAAAAATGCAGAATACACTCTACCTTAGTCCCACTGACTCTTGATACATTGTAGTCAAGGTTGAACAACTATTATAACTCATAATAAACTCACATGGGCAGAGAGTGGCTATCTAGAAATATGTTAGATATGTCATGATTACAGGCATCCTAGGTTAAAAATAAACAGACATACCTTTTTACAGGAGCTGAATGTGCCGTCAGGCAGAAGGGGCCTTCGACGCCTCTCAGGGATAAAGGGTGAGCCAAAGCGAATGTAGTGTTTGGGGGTGGTGCAAATTAACGGGGAATGGATAAGACCAGGTAACATGTTCAGGGTTGTTGCCAGTACAGTTGGGTCCGTGGTGATACGTAAAGGGCACTCAACAGGACATTCTTGCTTCTCTGCTTTGTCATTCAACCATTCTGTAACTAGATACTAAGGCAAAAAAGGGATCATTAGTTGATGCTGCAGATGTAATGCAGTTCACAAAGACAAACCTCATCTAGAAACAGGACAATGGCAGATATTGCGGCTGCAAAGAGTATGAACTGGGCATTTAGAATGCAAGGATGTCTTCCTTCACCCTCTCTGTGACCATTAAAGGGGAGGAATAATTCCAGATATCAGCAGTTTAGCTCTGCCTAAAAATTATGGGAACAAAAGCATGGTAGTGGGATGGCTTCAGCCCTCTGCATCAAGGAATTTTATCTAAAACTTTCAATTTAATAATACTTAAGAGTATTTGTTTCTTTCTGGGGGAATTAGAGGTCCTCTCACGTTACTAAGACACAGCCATTGCCAGACAAGACTTATGAAGATGTATTTGTGACTTACCTTTTTGGTTTTGGGGTATTTAGATGCAGCGCGGTTGACATGGGATCCAGCAACTGATATCACTGTTGGGTCAGACCCTGTTAATTGCCTGTTTTCTCCTGAAGTGTCTATACTTCCAGCTTCAGTAGGAGTTACTGAGCTGTTATTTCCTCCCTCTTCCAAGGCAGCTTGTGACAACTCTGCCTGCTGTGCAATGGCCTGCTTCTGACGCTTTAGTCTTTGGGCTGAACTGGTCCGATACCGAGAAATTCGACTCTTCGGTCGGGGCCTAGAAGGCTTTGTTGGAGGTGGTTTAGGGACTGGTTTTTCTGCAGCAATATCCTGTAACAATAGCAGAGTAAAATGCTTATCAGAAATTTCTTATTAGGAAACATTCTATCCATTTTCCTATTCACTTTAAGTATTCTGAATGTTTACTGGTGAAAAGAGTATTTAGAAAAACTAATCTCAAACATAATCCTTACAACAGGTACACATTTAAATTAGCTAAAGAGGCTGTAAGTAGATGACTCTGTTAGTTACTTCTTTTTCTCATAAGTATTTATAAACTTGGTCAAAAGTCAGCTGAAGGTAGCCACCTAATTTTAGGGTTCCTAGCAAAGAAGGTAATTCTTCCTTTTGTTTTTTCCCAGAAGCTTAAGGTTTAGAATTCATGGCTAAGGTAGGGAAGGGAAAGATGAGTTTATCCTGAGAATCCTATGAAAGGTCAGATGCCTAACTGTGCTAGTCAGCGGGGCCAAAAGAGAAACCAAATGATTTTTATGAACTCACCACCAATAGTCTATTTGGCAGAAACAGTATGAAATTCCATTCTAATCTAAAAGTGTCTAGTCATTCCAATTCTGTCTCCCTGAATCCCACAAAATCAGTAGATGAAAATGGCCTTACTTATTGACATATGAGGCAAAGATGAAAACGCTGATTTTAACCATTCCAAAAGACGTAACTGATATTAGCAGAAGCAAGGATGTTGAAGGCCTGGACTCTTCATCTCTTACCCCAGCTTGGGAAGACCTCCGGGTGTTCACGCCCACACTCTGCGGGGTGCTTAGAATGGCCACGTTTGAAACAGAGTTGCTAACATCAGACTCAGGGGCTTCAGGTTTTGTCTCTTCCTCTGTAGGCATCTCTGAAGCGATGGTAGTAACTTCTATGTCAGAGTTGCTTTGTTCCAAGGGCTGATCCCGCCGCTTCTTTCTTTTCTCCAAGTTTTCAAAAGCATGCATGATGGCTTCAACCTTCCTGTCCTCCCGGGTCTAAAAAGAAATAGCGTTAGCACAGAAGGAGGCCTTAACCAGGAGGCGGGGACAGCTTTTCAAAAGTATTAATGAAAATTTATAGACATTTATAAAAACTACCAGTAAGATGACACATATATCTTGGAGAACAAAAGATTAAAAACTACAAAGAAAATATTTAAGTTTTAGAGTTGTAAAGGAAGGCAAGGTCAAACCTGAACTTTCAGAGAAGGCCAACTATTCTACTAAAACTTTAATATGAAAGAAAAACAGCCAATGAAACGAATATTTCTCTTTTTCAGAGTTGAAAAATAACCAAGTAGATTTTCTTGAACTTCTCAGGGACAGAAATAAAAATGGATGGTTTTAGCAAAAAAGGAGACTTTTTGAATCCACATTACTGATAGGGATTTTTCAATGAGAAGACACACAAACTTAGGAAATTCCTAAGTCAGGGCAAGCAGCCCCAAAAGAGATATTTTGTTCCCGCCAGGCAGTGTTTTGGAAATGAGATTGTTACTAAGAAGCCTCTTAAAACCATCATTACATAACAGTAACTACTAGACCACCACTACATGTGTGTCTGTGAAAAACAAAAAACTAAAAAATAAAAAACCACAATGAAATGTACTTTATAGAAAAAGCCCAAATTTTAACCTGCAGATGATAGTATAGTATGCTGTCAAAGAAATGAGATGATGCAAACTCAGAAGAGAAGGGCTTCACATGCTGTAGGTAACAGGGGACAGCAGGAACAAAAAGATCTTAGAAGGTACCTACCCTCCTGCTATGAGCTGGGTTCTCCTGGTCATCTGTAACCTCTTCTTTCTCTTCTGCTTTTTCTTCTGGATTGTCTATTTCCTTTAAGATAGAGGCAATATTTAACTGCACTCTTAAACTCTAGGAAAACATCAATCTGTTTTTTTCCTCTGGCAGCTTAAAACTCTCTAGAAACAATTTCTAGTGCTTTATAGTGTTACTTATGTGGGGCCACATGGTGATAAGCACAGATGATATGTTCTTGACATTAAATAAAAGAGAGAATGAATAAACAAGCAGCCACTTTGATATAAAGGGCATTAAGTGTTACGATAGACTCCCTACATAAACCACATGTGGCAACCTGGGATCCACTTCATTTGGAGAGGACCAATACCATAGCAACAGTCTCTGGCTAGGGGAGATTACCTCATGGTCACTGGATACAGTCACTTTCTCAGAAGCTTGTTCTGGCTGTGGGTTGGTCTCCTCTTCTGGAGCCTCATTCTGCTGCTCCATCTCTAGCTCTTTCCGCCGTGCTTTTCTCCGTCTAGTCTCTGCTCCGATGATGGGTAGGCTTGGAGGAGGTGGGAGTGGCAGTTCCAAAGCACTGGGATTCCTTTTCTGTATAGGGCAATTCCGGTTCCCCTTGTGACATGCACAGTCCACTTTATAATTACTGCTCCAAAGAAACAACCAAAAGTGCCTGTCTCAGTACCCTTGAAAATCAGTTATATTATCTAGTCATTCTCTCGAAATACTAGTACAATAATTTCCTTGGGTATTATCTTTGAAAAACTTAAAAGACAGACATACAAGACTTCTGTGAATACTTTCAATATTCTGTGTTTCTCTATATAACCCCAATTCTTTCCCTACATACGGAAGGTGGAAAGGAAAGAAGGCCCCCACTAAATTCCATTCTCCCAACTGTTTTTATGCTATTTAGTGGGCAATGAACCAGTGACAGAGTCTAACGTGGCCATACTTTTTTTCTGCCTACCTTCACCATGTCCTCACTTTTATCTACTAATTTCCTACTTATTATTAATATATTTTCTTCTTGTACCATGTGCTGAACATCAATTTACCACACCTTTTTTTGCCTAAAAGGGCCAAGGGAGAAAAAATACCCACTTTACAAAACCCATTCATCTATGACTTGCTATGTTTTTCTGCACTGTCATATGTAACTAGATTACATGGTTTGAGTGCATGGGGCGAGTGAATCTTTAAATTCTCATATTCTATATGGCCCCTGGCACAAGTGCTGCATGCATAACAACAGATGCTATTGCGATTTCTAGGAGTGTCTTTATATACCTTTTTGCTATTATTGCTGTACAGGAGTAAGCCAAAATACCCTTGGTTGGGAGACTGGTGAGCAGTGCCATACTATGTACTGATGCCTCTAAAACAAAATGCCCTAAGTCTGTCTTTCCCTCCACAATTAGTAAGCAGATAATGGAATACTCATGAAAAGATTGGGTAAGGGCCGGCCGAGTGGCTCAGTTGGTTAAGAGTTGGCTTAAGAGTGAGAGCTCTGAGCAACAGGGCTGCGGTTCGATTCCCACATGGGCCAGTGACGCTGCGCCCGAGCTCAGCTGTCACTAAGCTGCCAACATGTAGCAGGATGGCTCAGCTGGTGTAACAAGATTGCCTTTTTGATGGTTGGCCAGGCCCACCCGCGACCAAAACTGAACTCGGCACCTTGAGCTGAGGTGCCGCCCGGATGGCTCAGTGCATAGAGCGTGCACTCTTAACAACAAGGCTGCTGGTTTCATTCCCGCATGGGATGGTGGATATGCCCACCCACAACCAAGACTGAACACAGCACCTTGAGCTTAGAGGCCACGAGCAGCTGACTGGCAGCCAGATGGCGACTGGCGCCCTCCACCAGGAAAATTGAACAACTTGGCTGGGCCCCTTTCCTGATTCCCCAACACCATTCCCCTCCCGCAACTCCCAATAAAATCTTTAAAAAAAGAAAAGATTAGGTAAAAAAAGACAGAAATGGTAAGGGACAAAAGCAGACTCAATAGCTTAATATGTAAGACAAGGCCATTCATGTTAGGAGAGGTTTTAGAGGTCTTACCAGTTACTGTATTCATAATCAAATGCTATGGTGACCTCAGCATCCTTGGTGATGGCAGACACAGCATAGATACACAGGTGAATCATCCCGTCTGCAATCATATGTCGCACCTGAGTGAAGAAGGTGTATGGATGATACTTATCATAAAGACCAGGAAAAAACCTTTTATCCAAATAAATTCTCCCCACTTATAGTTATAATAGTATGTTATTTAACACCATCATTTCATTTGAAACTATTATATAGTAATTGTTTGAAAATTTATATTTCTTCAATAAATAAACCTAGAGATGTTAGAAATCAGGGTAAGGTCACTGCTCTACATCTTAAAGCTGTTTTCAGAGAATTAAAATTCCTTAGCCCGTAAGAAAAGCTCTGTGGGTTTTCTTGTTGCATTTGATATGGTCGCACTGAGTTATCAATTCTAGAAATGTGTACAATCTCTCTCACAACACTATTACGTAGAAATCTAAGACTGTAACCACACAGCTTAGTTTGGACCAATGACATATTCTTTTATTATATGACAATTTCTTTTTTTTCTTTTCTTTTTTTTTTTTAAGCTGAGCCATCCTGCTACCTGTTGGCAGCTCAGCGGCTGCTCAGCTCGGGCTGGACTCGAACCGCTGTTGCTCAGAGCTCAAACTCTTGAGCGAGCTCTTAAATGACAATTTCTTTAATATAACCTCATTGACTTTTTATCCAGTCTAGCTCTTTTTAGCAAATGCTAACTTGCTTTTTCTCCCACTTCTGTATCTCTAAAGAAAATCCATTCCTTGCCCCTTGTCTGTCAGAATTCAAGCATCATTACTTTTGTTTTCATGTCTCTCACAATGAAAGATCATAACCATTATCTACAGACCTTAATCTGAGTGAAAATGTCAGACTGCTTCTTCAGTAAACTTGTTCTTTGGTGGTTGCATTCAGAGAAGTTGCTACAGAAATCTTACCTCTGCATTTGGTGTACACGATCTTCTGATGAACCGAGCATCATTACCGAAAGTACGTGCATCCACACACATCTCTACACCATTGAATTTTGAGTAGAAGAGCACAAAGGGGTATGGTCTAGGGATATAATTAAGATTCCTGTAATTCTCAACACAAATAAAAAAGCCATCCCATGAATTCAAATATGAAGCATATGCTGACATAAGAAGCAGCAATCCTTTGCAATGCCTAAACTTGGAAAACATCACATGCTTGTCTGCTTTTGATTAAAGAATAAGCTCAAAGCAAGGAATGCTTGGCTTGGAAAGAAGTCATCACCACTTTATACATTAAACAATTTGCAGATTTATTTGCACTTCTCTAGAAATAGCAGATGGGCGTGAGTTTATTTGAGCTGTAATCTTTCCCAAGAGCATGCTATCAACCAGGATAGTTTTGACAGTCATACTGCTCAGCCAGGCCCACTTTAGCCCTCACTGCTCAATAAATGATGCTCTTACTTTTTGAAGAAATGCCCATTGACCTCAAATTGCTGTCGTAACATGACTTTCCCTCGATATTCTATTATAAGAGTGTCCAAAGCCAAATCTCTTGCAGCCCTCAGAATCTTCCGGTGCTTTTGAACACGAGTGACTCTTCCCAACTGTAGCTGCATAAAACCAGAGTATTAACATTAGACAATTGCAACAGCAGCTTAACAGACACAAAAAATACTTCCGAATTGAGGAAGACACTAATGTTTTTAGGTTTTATTTGTATATGTTATTTAGCTCAATGATCAGAAAAATTTAAATTTTATAAAAACTCAGTATTTTTAGGAAACAGACCATGTAGTACACCTGTCACCGCCCACCCCACAGGCAAGAAAAGGTCAAAGAAAAATATATGATTAAGATTTTAGTGGCTCTATGTCTAACGTAAGAATCAGAAAAAAACAAGCTTAGCTTTTTATTAATCTTACTAATTCCTACTGAGGCTGTATAAAATTTCCTATCCTAATTTATCTATTTTAAATTAATATAGTTTAAAAATATGTATCTGAATAGTTTCCAGTTTTTGTAACCTGCTTTTGGTTTATGATGCTCAATCACAAATAGTTTGTTTTTCTAAAGCCTTGTACACTTGAAAGAAATAGTAATTCCCATATATGCCCTTTTCCTCTGTTCTTAAAATCTCAACTACTTACAGTCATTAATCCTTTGATCCTTACCTGCATTTGTGAACCAATAACTGTATTATTACAGGCCAATTCAGTCTTATTGATCGTGTCTAAAACAGCAGGCTTGCCCACAAACTCCTTGCTAGAATGTAGATGTTGTTCAAGGGCGTTCTGTACATCTGCACTGTACTGATTAGTGAAAGCTTCTTCATACTGATCAGTCCATAGTCTTATCCGGTTTTCCCATCCCTCAGTTGTATTCTCATCTAAATTCTGTGCTTCAGAAGGCGAATTCTGTAGAGAACAAACGTCAGGAAGGTTAGCAGAGTCCATGAATAAAAATGGGAGGGGGAAACAGGTTAAGTCTCAGAGAAAATTTGTTTTCGCTTGGCAGTCGGTGTGGCATAAAAGAGTAATGGCCTGGGAGTCAGGGGATCTGGTTTCTACAATAGTTTCATTACCAATGAGCAAGGAGGCCTTGAACAACTTCTTAGAAAAGCTCAGTAAAAGCTCAGTTTCCTCATTTATAAAGTGAGAAATTAATCTAGACTGTAGTTTCATCCCATCACTGATTTTATGATTATTTTTGTCTTAAAAATCAATTCTGTTCTTATCAGAAGAATATCAAGTTCACAAGAAAATTTTCATAAAGAAGAACAAGAGACCCCTCAAAATATCACATCGCTTAAATTTCAATACCTTTCGAATATCTGCATTAGTGTCAGCCCAAACTGGTATTATTTTACTTCTCTCCAGGAGAATGTTTTTGTTTCTATGCTTATTATTTTCATTATACAATTAATACATTTTCATTCTAAATATACATGTGACCCAAATACCCAATAACCCATAATCTCACCTCCCATAGAAAAAGTTATCATTCTGAAGTGTATCCTTCTAACACTCCATTTTCGACAGTTTAAATAGCCACACTCTGAAGAGGTGAAGTTGGGGGAGGAGGATAGGTGGAGTGTAGAAAATTCTGAAAGGTATTTTGCTATAGTTCTCTAGGAAAACCACTGCCCTCTAAGGTGACAGAACCTTAGAACCGAGACAGAACCGAGAAAAGATTATCTCAGAAATGTTTCACATCCTAAACAGATAGCTCATGTGTGCTTGAACTATAGAGACAGAGCTTAAGTCTGACACATGTTCTCCAACATGATGCTCAAGACTTAAGGTATCACCAGAAAACAAAACAAACACCCCAAGTGATGATGTCATACTAGTGATGACTCGAAGGAAAAGACAGTATAGTACCAAAGCTACTTAGAAATCCACAACCACACTAAATTTGCAAAAATGGGCAAAAGAAAATTAAATATACTTTCCATGAACGATACAGAAAATATTGATGCCTATTATAACAATTTCTTTCTTTCACTTTTGTGTCACTGGTATTGACTGACTATTGTCTACCATCCTTTCCCCAAGAACAGGAAAGGAAAAAATTAACACCACTGTTTTCTACATTTCTCACTAGAGTCCAAAGACTGAGCAACAAACAAAGGGATCTAAGAAACAACTAAGGCCAACACACTGAGAACAGACTATCATCTGCTTGAGATGTCAGTAACAGCTGAGCAAAAGTGCAAAACTTGAGACTTTAGAGTACTTACAAGAGGATTAGGGGTGCCCAAACAGTATTCCCAAGTTTAAGCATCCAGTAGTGATAACTAAGCTTGTATTAAACGTAATGTATATTGGAATCCTTCGCCACAGTATTAGCTGTTATTCATTAATACAATTCTGTCTATTCTGTTGTCCCATTCTTCTGAGTACTGGAGACCCCATCTCAGTGGGTTAGAGCAGTCGTTCTCAACCAGAGATGATTTGCTCCAAGGAGACATTTGGCAGTAGCTGAAGTCATTTTTTATTATCATACCTGTGTATTACTGGCATCTAGTGGGTAGATGCCAGGGATGCTGCTAAAGAGCCCACAATGCGAAAGACAGCTCCCACCAGCGCCCCCGCAAAGAACTGCTTGGCTCAAAATGTCAACAGCGTCGAGGTTGAGAAATTCTGGTTCAGAGTAGTCTCCAGCAGAGAAGCTCTTGGCTTTGAGATTAAAAATCCAAATGATCAATTCTTCCCATTCTTATGGCTCTCACCCAGGTCTTGGGTGGAGTTCTAACTGATAAAATTCTGAGTACAGAACTTGTAACTCAACTTAAAATTCTAACGAGAATTAAAATAAACCAAATAGTATTTTTTTTTGTTGTCTAAATTTTAACACATCTATGGGGTTATTTGTCAACATTTCAAAACAGCAAGCAATATTTGGGGTTTATGTGTAGTTTTCTGGGAGAACGAGTCAACAGCTTTCAAAACATGTCAAACCTCTAGAGGTAAGTTACAATAGCTGATAAAAGAGAAAAGAGTTTACAGCTGGGATGAGTGCGGTCTGTTCCCTAAATCTATTTCAAGTCCCATGTAAGCAAAGGAGACAAAAATAAAGGGGCAGTTAAAGCAAATGTGGCCCCTTACAGGAGACAGGTTTAGAAAGAAAAAAAGAATTAATTAAAATAAAATTGTGTTCCAAGACATCTCAGGACTCTGATGCTCTTGGGCTCTAGGTTCTCTCCCATCTCTTTTACAGATATGTACAAGTCTGTTTACAGGTATATGCAAGATGAGGCCTTCAAACTTTAGATCCAGTGCCACCTGTGATCTTTGTTAACATCAGTCATTTTGGTGCTCCACATACATAAAAATTCTAATAAAGCTTATCCTCACTAAAAGATTTTAATGTTTATGCTATATAGTTATATACCATCAACAGGAAAGATCCTGCTTTTAAATCATTTATGCATTTAGGAATATGAATACTTGCAGAATTAAAATAGATCTTAATTCTAATTAAATACTTTGAAGCCCTAAATAATAGTTTGGGAGGTATGCTGCCGTCCTGTATGTACACAGGTAAAGGAACGTACCAAACAGAATATCAAATCTCCTTCGAGCAAACTGTTTTTATCACCTAGTACCTAAAAGTCCACTGCACATAATTTCTCTATTCTCCAACTACTATCCAAAATCATGCCTTATAAGCTCTTTTATTCAATAAGTGAAGAAAAGAAACACATTAGCACCATATCAATCTTCTATACCAAAAAGATATGCCAGGAGAAAACAGTTCAAAAGTAAATAATTCCAGTAAGAGTAATTCCTATCAATCAATACTACTTTCCTATTGATGAAAATTATCCTTCCAACTGGTGATTAAAGCCTACATGGTGCTAAGATGGGTACATAAGAGATCCTGTTATCACCACAAAGACCACAGTCCTGAGGTTGAGGCCAATCACAATGACAGAACACATCAGCCTCATTCTGTTTGGTAAAATGTCACTTACCCCCCAGAAAAGCAGCTAACGAAAAACCAATAAATGAAGGCTGATTACAGAAAGGGAAATTATTTCACAAAATGGCCAAGAAAATCTACTTTGGAGAAAGGCTCTATGAAAACTGAATGGCAACAATTACAAACTAATGAAAAGCAGAGTCCAAGATTCCCAGACCATCAATGTCAGAAAAGAAGCTGACCAAAATGCAAGATCACAGTGAAGTAAATACACAGCATCAGGAAGAATACCCCTTACCTTCATCCGCAAGGACTTCCGGGATCCCTCTCGAAATGCCTATCCCAAAGAGGAAAACAAGTAGAACAAAACAAAACTTGGTACCAAGAATGACAGTTATACCTATCTGAGACTAAAACTAAGGCAAGAACTAGTGTTCTAGTCTGTCCCCTTTCCCCTAGGTAACAAATACAATTGAATTCCCCACGCTATTATCAAGAATAGGGGTAGCTCAAAGCCAGTGAACTCAGGCTAATTCCAGTACTTCCCACTGTGGAACTAAGTAATTAACAGGGAAGAGCATGCATCACTTAAATCCTATATGCACCCCTGACACTAAAAGAAAAAGTAAACACCAATGTTAAGTAAGGTTGCAGATTTACCAGTTTTGAAATTAAGAAAGAAACAAAGACCAATCCCCTTAACAAGGGGTGGGCAAGTCACCTAGGAGCAACGAAGTTGCCGTGATGGGGAAGAAAGAACACAAAACAGAAGAGGTTTCTCCTAGAGACTTTTTAATTGAGAATACAGGAAAGTGACCACCACACACTGAGGAAGCCTAGACTATTCAAGAGATGTTTCCTGATTTTTTTGAAACAAGGAAAAAAGTCAACCCAAATGACATGAGGTGGGCACGTACCAGGACAAGAATTTCAGACTGTTTTGGGACTGAGGGAGGCAGGGAGATACTGTAAGGATAGTGGAAGCCTAGACTGGAGGCTGCGGCATATGTGGGCTTGTGGCGGGTGGGGCTGGGATTTCATACCTGGGATGGGGCTTGGAGGAGAGGAAACTTTGTGCCAGTTGTGATGGTATGGAGTGGCAGAAGAGGTTGGTCTACATGTTCACAACACAGATTAGCCGATTTTTGCAAGTAGAGCAAAAGTGGCCCTTCAAACATCTGGATCAAACTTCTTAAAAGAATTTTGGTGCATTCTTGGTCCAAAATTTGAGCTATTTCATCAGACATATTTCTATTTAAGATACTTTTACCCTCCATACCTTGATTTTCTTTGTCTTTGGTGCTGTACGACCCTTTTCTGGACTCTTTTTCCGCTTCTTGGGTTTGGTTCTTCTAACAGTTAAGGTGATGCTTGTAGGTGTGTGTTGTGTTGCTGTATACAACACAGTGGAAGGAGAAAGCTCCTCATCCCAGCTTTCTGTTGCACTGCTATCCCCACCTGAAAAAAGGTTATTTCATAGTTCACATTGTACAAACAGCCTCAACAGTGCATTAAAAACAGCTTATTCCTTTAAATCCAGTCCATATTCAGTGAGTCATTACTTCTACTATCAACTCTATGATCTGTAGAACCACCCAAATACCCACCTTCCACATGAAAACAAGATTCTTTCTGGATCATTGGCAATAGCATATAAACATTGTTCTACATTGTATATTTCTCTTCTTGTATCCAGTCCCCAAGGTCCACTGCCTCAATATGTAACACAGAAAAAGAACCTGCTTTTTTTTCTGCTCAGGAGGAATATTTTGATTGCTACAGGGCTCAAATGTTGTTTATGGATACATTTAATGCACAACAACAGGAGAATTACAGCAGTCTTGAGAGGATTTCTATCTCAATGAAAAGAGCTAGGGACCATGGGAACCTACAGGAGGGATTGAGACAAATATTTAAAATACAAAGTATGTCAAAATATGGGCCTAACCCATCTTCTGCTCACCTGATATGTTGTCCTGCTTCCGCCGATGAAGTCTAATAACCTTCCCCCTGCTCATTCCCCTAAAGAGGGAAAATAAACTTAAAGTAGTCCTTCCAACAGCATGCAGCACATCATCACACACATGGGAGAAGTATCTCTGCATATACTACCCCCTTCCTCCCACCTACCCAAAGTTTCCAGGACATTAAATTTCATATCATATTCAATAGCTTTAACATCAATCTCTCCTTCCTTGTTGTCAGCAATTCTCACCTAGTGCAGAGAATTCGAGCCAAGGAGCACTAAGGAACATCTACATTAACAAACACAAGAAAGAATACTTTGAGCTTTTCCCTACTAGTGAGAAACCCTAATCCCAGCAACCCAGGCTTGAACTTAGATGGAACATGAACTTACCTGCACTTGTCACAGTTGAGAAGGAAGCCATCCTGAGAAAGACCACAAGGACACCAGGTAGGAACAGTCTCTCCTTCAGAGTTCGGGCTGTCTCCACAGCGTTCCTCTACGGGCGACGGCAGGCCATTCAGGTCAGAACGAGGGATGATCGTCTGGACAGGGGGAGAAGCAGGAGGTGTCGGAGGAGGAGGGGCTCCGTAATTATGATCCTGAAAATAAGATTTTTTAAATCAACAGTGTCCAAACACTGGCCCCTCTCTCCCCTAAAGTATGGTACATATGGAAAGAAAGAAGAAAGTAGTACCCTTCGTTTTTTGGCTTCAACCAGGAAAGTGATAAAACAAAATGCCAAGGTCAACTGGGACATAAAAACAAGAACAATGATGCAGGGCTAGACGTCCGCTGGAGGCAGGGAAGTGCAAAAGGGGCAACTTCGTCATGCTGCATATAAACATTGTAAGAAAGTCACAATGTATAAGAATGGATTACACTCCAGGAAGATCACTGCTCTGGAGAGAAACAAATGCATACTCACAGCGTAAGGCAGTCCTCGACACCCATGCCTCTGAGTGGTCCCATAATTATGAGTGGAATACACGCTCTTCTCATTAACTGCTGGACTAGCCTCCACAGATTCAGGGCTGCACAAAGGCGAAAAGCAACGCATGATAGCATAACACCTAATCTTTCCTTAAATTAAGACTTAACTTCCCATTCTAACCCCTCCTCTTTCCACAACCACCAGCCACTAGAACAAGAGAAAGAACTCAGTGAAACAATCTGATTAACATAACTTAAGCCTATAAATAACATTAGGAGTGTTATTAAATGTGGATTTGTGTGTAACATGAAGCCAGTACAGGCAGATGTCTCAAGGCAGGCACCTGGGATACAAGGTGTCCCTAATGACAAACACAAACGTACCAGCTGAGCGGGGAGTTTCCCCTAGAGAAGCCACTCTGGGCTGCTTTAGACTCAGAACTATTCTTCTTAATTGGATCTCTTAATACTTCCATGAAACCTCACATGACATTTGCAGTGAGTGAGATGATGAAAGTGCCTTCTGCACTGCCCCAGGGACCAGGCCCTCTTCCATTCACTACCAAGACAGGATACCCTGAAGAAAGTACAGGTAAAAACAATGGCATCTTATATTTATCATACCTCTCATCTTGATGAACCCCCAAACGCCTTTCAAATATCAGAGTAATAATTTCTCATCCACCAAGGACATGCAAGCATATCAAGGACACAAGTATTTAACAGCTGCATGGTAATACAATAGAACTTCAAAATAATCAAAGCTGTACTCAGAAGTTTTGTTAAGTCTAGTGACAAACAGTAACAGTAGTAGTAGTTACCATTTTGAATTTCCCATTATTTGCCAGGTGCTTTATATATTAATTCATTTACTCTGCAACTATTAAACATGGTAAATAGCACCCCATGTTTACAGAAGGGTAAATTAAGGTGGTGTGATTATGTGACTTCGCCCAGGTCACACACTGTCAGAGCCAGGATTTGAAACAATGTCTGACTCCAAAGCCTGTGCTCTTTCCAATATGCCTAACTGGTTTGTAAACCAGGATAACATTCCACCTTTAAAGAAAATTACATGAGATTGTAAGTACCCAGGCTTAGCGAGAAGCTTGGTTAAGTATCTTTCTGTACTCTCACTGAGTGGAAAATAAACAGTTCAGGCACAATTTAGTAACATAAAACAATTACAAATGTGTTCAAATTTATAAATTTAATGTAATCCTTTACTTAGCAATAAAAAGGTGTAGGTGGCAAAGGATAAAATTCAAGTTTTTTTGGGGAAAAAAACTTTGATTAGGTTTTGGGGAATTTTGAAAGATAAGGAATGCAATGTATGACTTTGCAGAATAATAGACTATGTCATTTAATTAATCAGAGCAGAGATTCACAAATTAGAAACTCTAAGGACACCACACCTAACTCAGTCTTAAGAGATCAAAGGGTCTCTTATGGAGTCAAATAATGCATACTGTTTGCTTCAAGTAATATACACTTTTCCTGCTTGAAAATACACCATATAGAAACTTGGCAGGAATAAAATATGAAGTTTCACGTGGTGCCATGTGAGCAGAAAAGTGAGGGATAAAAAAAATTCTGAGATATGTATCCAACTCACCCAGTTATATGCTCCAGAACTGTGAGAAGGGATATTATTAATAACAGCAAAGATTAATTTCTAGGTGAAGAACTTTAGACATAGGAAAGTATTCTGTTAGTGAAGTGCGTGCATTTTTTTCCTTTAAGAGCACCTGCAAGATGGGAACTAGGGGGAATATATCAAGAATGCAGGTCAGTATTCTTGAGAAAAAGATGATCTGACCATGGCTCGCTGAGAGGCAATCAGCTCTGAGTATTAGGAAACAGGTGGGGTTTCCTAAACAAAACCAAAGGCAAATAAGTATTAACAAAATGAAGGCAGAATTTAGTTTCTATGATGGATAGTTAAAGAGAAAGTAATTCTATAAACATGGTTAATTTACCAGATAAACAAGTATTCCAAAGACTGTACGTATTTTATATAAGAGATTTTGTATCACTGAACACATGGGGTGAGACATGACAGCTGTTTATTAAGAATGTTCTTTCTTTCCCTTGGACAGGAAAAAGGACAGTGGCATGAAATAAAAGATGGCCATGGAGATGCAGTTATGTTGGCTGTATCTTACCCATCTCCAAACTGGGTAAATATGAACATATGCACTTCATGTGCAAGTCTAGGAAATAAAATATAAATTGTGGAGATTAAAAGGCCATCTGCACAACACCTTCTAGTGAAGCACAGCATTTACTATATTGCTATGTGTGCTTAACACTAAAATTTAAGCTCTTATCTTTTGATAAGGAACTCTTGCAATTTCCATACTGGTTATTGATTCAATACATCGTTACATGTTGGCAGGTAAACTACAGGGTTTCTTAGGATATTCATTGACATATATATCAGCTCTTAACTATATTTTAAATGGATTAAAAATTTGAAGTGCTAGGATTGCATTTCTTTATTAGCCAACCATTTTATGCAAATATAATTATAGCCTTTCTTCCCCTATATTTGAACTGCTATGACAGATGGGTACATACACAAGAACGCATGCTTACAAGATATACTCCATCAATGGTCTTCAAAGTACAATTTGCAACCTTGCTGCTATAATGCTACCTCTTGGGAAATCTGAACTTCATTTACAGTAGGATTGCAAATTCAGAAAATTTTTTGCTCCTATTGTTATACCTAGAGGTTTTCCTACGAATATATAAAATATGCATAATGTTGCCATCAGCTTTAAAATCCCATGAGGTAAGGTCTAGGTCTTTTACTTGGTTGAGTATGTTGTCCTTCATACCAGTGCCCAGAACAGAATATTCATGGTGAAGCATTAACAAATATCACCAATAATTTAACAGAATGGTACGTAATTGTTGACATTTTCTTGCTTTGCAGAAATACTGAATGAACAACTGTAATTAGTTATGACCAGAGTATCAAAAATCTGCCTGGAGATTATGAATGAAAATGTTTCAGGAAATAGAAACATTGCAGTCAAATTTTTAGGCCAGGAGTACTTTTTCTTTCTGCAATTACTTCTGGACCCCCTAGCAATATATATGTGTAGTCATCTCTGTACTCTTGTGAAAAAGATCAGTTTTAAGAGTAATTGCTTTTGTCTTTTTCTTATCTACTTATTCCAAACTCACTGATTTAATCTCTTGAAATTTCTCACAAATGTTAATGCTATTTACCTACAGTTTTGTTAGTTAATCCATATAGGAGGCTAGTGGCTGACTTCATAAAAATCTATTAACACTATACAACTAGTCACCGATTAATGTAGGAAGATTTTTTTAAAGTACTTCATATGGAAAATCGTTACAAAATTGTAAACCTCAGCTACTGGAATAACTAAATCTTGGCATGCAAAAAAATAAAAACAAAAGAGGAAAAAAAACCCTGGAAGAAACACAACCCACCCTTCCCCATCCCCCACCCTCCATCTTCCTTTTTATATGGGAATAAGGCCAAAAACTGCTTTAAATTCTAGACCACCCCAGAATATAATATACTGCTTCTTAGGGTAGTTTCATTTTAAGTCTTCCTCTTTAAGGAAGCCAGTAAACAATTAAATTGTCCTAGGTGGCTTTGTGAAGAAATGTACATGCTCTTTACTAATATTCTCCATTTTAAGGAGGAAAACCACTATTAATCAGGGATGCATTTGAACCCAGAGTTCTGGTACAGTTGCTTTGCTTTGCTGAAGGGGGAAGAATCCCCAGGGACTGTGAAAATGGCAAGAGAAACAGGGGAATTAGAGCAACACCCACCTCACTCAAGAAGTGGCTGTGGGATCAAGAGTCTGAACTGGACCTGAACATATTCAAAACACCAGGATTTTTCCAGCCCAGACCCTAATCCCTGGTACTGCCTGGAATAGACTTGGCTTCTGGGGGTGTGCTGCCCCCTAGGCCCCTTGGGTCTCTTTCGCTGGACTTTCACATCCTGGTGTAGTGCCACTTCGTCTTGAAAGGTAGGGGGCTTCCACTTCCTTTCTGTAAGCAAGGAAGATTGGGTACAAGGGAGGTAAAAGGACAAGAGGGGGAATCTGTGAGCAGGGGGAATCTCGGACAACTTAAAAGAGAAGGGATACAAAAGGCTAAATGTTTTAAAACTGTGAATAATATATAAAGTTTTATAACGAAAGCCTACCTTCATTGCCATTTGGCATTTAAATTCTTCAAGAATTGAGAGTCTATTTTAGGGATTGGGCTTTTCGACAAACTCTGAATTCCTAAAGCTGCTCTTAGCTGAAAAAAAAGTTTGGTGCCACTGATTTTGAAGGTCCTCTTTCTAGGCAACGAATATTATAAAAAACAGATGACACTGCTTTCCACATTTTCTACCCCAAAATGTCAGAACATCTAAGTTACCTGCCCATACAAAGTTACAGCCCCTTTACTCTAGAACAATGAGAAGTACATAGGAAGAGGCCTTCAAGGAAAATCAGTTGGAGAGAACCCCTGGTTATCTCCATCCATCAGAATAATTATTAACTCTACTGAAGCAGGTAGTGACACCTACTTTATTTCAATTTTCCCCACCCATTAAAACAAATAAAAATGTAATCACTACTTTGCAAATGTAATTCTATTAATTATTTACTCAGAAATCCTGTTCCCACCCCCAAATTCTTTTCCTCTCTTTTTCCCCTCCAGCTTCTACGGGAGAAAGGGAAAGGTGTAATGTCATTTACAGTGGGCTAAGTTTGGGTTTAGAAAATATTATATATTTACTATGAGATGCCCATAAGAAAGTTGTCTCCACACAAACTGGTAATTCACCTACTACCTAGGAAGCAGCACTTACTCTGATCCAGCAGCCATATCTGAGTAGGATGTATCTGGTGTGGTGACTCCCAGAGGGATTGCAATGCTCATGACGTCCAACACAGCAGAGAGTGGAAATCACGGGGTCCAATTAATGGAAACTGGCCACTCTGAGAGTGGGGGTGAGCTGCAGAGCCTCAACCAACATGTTATGGACATGAGGAATCCTGCCACAGAAAAGGAAAATATCTAGTAACAAGATAGTTATTTAAATTCATCCTAAATACTAAATGTTTTTTCATTTTTTGAATAAAGCTTTTAAAAGGGATACATATAAAACAAGTACAAGGGATCTACACATTATCCCGTGTTTACTATGTACTGCATTAATATTCCATAAAGTAAGGTAGCAAAAACTATGTTTTAATTTTTTTCTTACCTGATAAAGGGAAAGTAACAGTCTGCCCAGCTCACTAATAAGTACATTTCCCCTGGTCTACAACTGCTCATCAAACAAAATTTCCTGGCAGCCTATGACCTAACAACTTTTTTTTTTTTTAATAATTCAAGATCTTCATTTAAACTCCCCCTACCACAAATAAATACAGTTTACCAGCAGCCAATAATGCTATTTCTTCCAAATTAAATATAATAAGAGATCGGTTTGTTTGTATTTGATTGGCTACAGCTGTTTCTCATTGCCTTTTTTTGTCCCAGAACACTGCTCCTTTTCAAAAACCATTTTTATTTTAATTACAATTTTGTGAGAAGATTCAATTATCTTAATATTTGTGAGGTAATATCCACTGCTACATATGAATAAAAACATAAGCCACAAAGAGTACGGTTTCATGATAAAGGTTAGACAACTTTGTACGGAAAAGCAGTGAGAATCTTGAATTGGTGGCCATAGACAGACTGGAATTTGGGAACAGAAAGACTCACAAACTACTGAAGTGTAAAAAAGCAAAAGTAGATTAAGAGATTTGGAGGTATGGTGAGAAGGTGAAAAAAGTGTACTTCGTATGGTTTTTCATTAGTGGTTTTATATTGCAAAAAAACCACTGAAAGGATGAAATAAACATTTTATGTTGGAGGGAAGAAAGTCAATGTGAATGTTGAAGACTCAGATTAATAAAAATTTTACAAAAAAAATTACAAAAAGAGTCATGTTTCATATACTGATTCATAATAATACACTAGAAAAGTCAAAGTTACACTAAAAAAATTAAATGGAATGAAAAGTGTTAAGATACTAATTGAGTCAATCTAGGGGATTAATGCAAATTTTAAATGGTAGACGATCTGAGGTGTTTGAATCTTATTTTGATATACAAAGCAAATTAATGTGGATAAAAAACCCAATAATAAACAGTAAATCAGGCCAAGATTTTTAAGAATACATGAAGATAATATTACTCTTCTGTGTCATTATTTTAGAATGCTAGAACAGCTATAAACTGAGCAGTCTTCTCTGGCACCTATACTTTGAAAGAGCTTGATCTCACCAATGGATCTCTCTAAATATGGGTGTGGCGATACTCCTGTTCCTATTCAACTGAAAGTGACATATTGCTAGATTTGGGATTGAAATGAAAAGGGCAAATCTGCCTATCTATTGTTTCCTCACAGGTCATGAAAGAGAAATGATTAATGTAACTTTCTGCCTTAGGGCCCATCTTACATATAATGTTTCCTTTCCCTAATAATATGTTCAAATAGAGATTTAAGCAGTACATCCTCATGTCTCTGGGAAATTGAAGTGAAATCTACAGAGAAGAGAGAACACGTATCAAATAAGCCCAAAGGGTATAAAATTAAATATTGGGGATTGTTGGTTACAACTCTTTCTCTACTTTTAGTATCACTGTATAATCTGAATTAAAAATAAAAAAGGCCCAAAACTGCCTGACTTGATAATCAGACAGTATGATAATGATCATACCTTCCCTGACTAATACAGGAATATGAATCATGTATTATATATTTTCAGTAAAGAACAACAAAAAAGTTACTCAGCACCAATCAAAATCCAGTCACAGCCATACTAGTATATGACCATAAAAAAATGTAGGCTTCCAGATAAAAGACAACTTACAAACCTAAGTTGATAGTTATTATTTTTCTCAGAGTAATTTTTAAAAGATATACTAAAAGGAAAAGATGAAAAACTTACTTCAGATATCTCCTTAATGAATGAATAAATGATGAATACATTCCTTAATGAAATTCCACCCCCGCTGATTTGGATAGTTGAAAAATAACTTTGAGAAACATTAAGAAGCCAACCATAAATTTCTCTTCCATGAATTTCTCCATTTTCCTTTTGTCTATCTAGTTTTACCCTTCCACTCTTCTGATGAAAGCAATTATTATAGCTTAGCTTGGCCATCTTGTTCTAAATAATATTTTCACAATATTGGGGCCTCTTAATTCAAATGATAACAAAACCAAATTTCTTATATAACCCTGAGAACAGTTCTTTCCCTAAATAACACTGCAAAATGTAGCTTTTAAAATGTTAACTAAAGAACTTTTAACAGATCATCTATATGCAGTATTTTCTTAAAATTACTCGTTTTATAAGCCAAGGTGATAGATTCCTAATATACTTTACTAAGCTTAGTAGTTGTAGCAGTTATTAACCTGCTTTAGTTTGGAGTTGTGTCCTAGAGAGACTGATATGAATTAACTCCATGTTCAGGTGGAACAATTTCAAGGTATCTTTTACTTGTTAATTTGTCTGTCTCTTCCTAACGGAATACAAACTCTATGAGGACAGGTATTTTTGCTTTTTCTTCTGCCATAGTTCCAATGTCCAGAACAGTGCCTAGCACAACGAGGGTGTCCGAGAAATATTTGCTGAATTTTGATCATGATTATCTCAACATGATTTTAGCATTTATTAAAATACAAAAACAAATTAAGAGAATTAAAACAAATTAAAAGAATTTATTTGGCTCAGTCACCTTTTTATAGACCTCCGAATATGAAGTCCCAAAAAATTATGTCAGTAGCTCTGAAGACCTAGAAAAAGTTGAGACACAAATTAGTATAAAGAAATAACACTGACACACACAGAATTCTACAGAAAAATATTTTAATGGTAATTTTATTTGTTTCATCTCTGTATACTGTCTTGTTTAACATCCTAAGTTTCATCTAGTACTATATTTTTGTCCTTCAACTTTTACATCCTATTTTCCTGTAAAGCCAGACCTAAATAAAGGGTGGAGAGGAAAATTATCTTTATTTGACTTAAGAAGTGGTAAATACTTAGTCACTGGAGAATCCTCTTTCCTTCAAATTAGAATTCTCTCCCATTTCCCAAGGGATTCCTTCTTTTTATCTCTCCTAGGGGTGCTTCTCTTCTCCACTGACCCCTTCCCAAATCCAGAGGCTTTTCTTTAATCAAATGTCAAATTTATTCTCTAGTCAGACAAGGACCTACCGTCACCTGTTATGTATAAATCCATATTACTCCTTTCTTACCCCACATTCCATTCCACCTATAGCCTCTTGTCTTACTGTAGAAAAAGAATGACAAAAGGAAGTCATTTCTACTTATGGTCAACTCCATAACAGAAACATGTAGGAAAATAAGGCCTTAATTAACTTTCTACTCTTCAAAAA